GGAGAAGGTTAATTTAGAAGAAGGAAAGAAGAAAGATGAGGTAAAAGAAGAGAGCTCAAAACTAGACAAGGTTATTAAGGGAGATAAGAAAACAAGTCCACCACAAGAATCCAAAGACACTGTTAAGTCAGATGATGACCAAAGAGGTGACAAACAAGATGAGAAAGGAGATGGAGAAAAGGAGAAGGTTAATTTAGAAGAAGGAAAGAAGAAAGATGAGGTAAAAGAAGAGAGCTCAAAACTAGACAAGGTTATTAAGGGAGATAAGAAAAAAAGTCCACCACAAGAATCCAAAGACACTGTTAAGTCAGATGATGACCAAAGAGGTGACAAACAAGATGAGAAAGGAGATGGAGAAAAGGAGAAGGTTAATTTAGAAGAAGGAAAGAAGAAAGATGAGGTAAAAGAAGAGAGCTCAAAACTAGACAAGGTTATTAAGGGAGATAAGAAAACAAGTCCACCACAAGAATCCAAAGACACTGTTAAGTCAGATGATGACCAAAGAGGTGACAAACAAGATGAGAAAGGAGACGGAGAAAAGGAGAAGGTTAATCTAGAAGAAGGAAAGAAGAAAGATGAGTTGAAAGCAGAGAGCTCAAAACCAGACAAGGTCATCGAGAAAGATGAGAAGAAAACTCCACCACAAGAATCCAAAGACATGATCCAGAGCAAGCCAGATGATCACAGAGAAAATAGTAAAGTGCAGGAAGAAGGAGATGGAGAAAAGATCAAGCCTGCTTTAAAAAAGCTCGATGGAGGAGAAGCAAAGACTCAGAAGTCAGACAAGAACAAGCTTGGAAAGAAAGTGAGCTTTTCAGAAGAAACGATCCAGAAGAAGCCAGATGATCTGAAGAAAGACAACGCAACGGCGAAAGAGATTCATGAATCAGCATCACCATCAAAACCTAAAAAGACAGCTCCCAAGGAATCTGGATCAAGTAAACCAAAAACGTTCAGGTTACCGAGAAATGAAACCAAGAAACTGGGGAAAAGAGGGCAAGAAGATTCAACAATAGATAAACTTCCTACGAGCTTAAAGAAGTTGGAGCTAGAATGTTTCCCTGACAAGAAGCCTCCAAATTGGTTAAATCCCAAAAATCTTGACAGTCTTGAAAAGCTCTCCATCAAAGGAGGAAACCTTAGCAGAATCAGTGACGAGGATCCAACCGCAGAAAACAACTGCCGCATTCAGATCTTACGTTTGAAATATTTGCATGAATTCAAGGCTGAGTGGAAAGATTTGCAGGCACAGTTTCCAAAACTGAAACTGTTGGAGAAATATCAATGCCCGAAAGTCTCATTCTGTCCCACAGATGGTAAGGGAGTCTGGAGGTCACAGCAATGCCAAGATTAAGTTACATAGTTTCTCATCACTGCCATAGCCACCTGTTAAGTTCCTTCTGTTTTATAAACGTCAAGAGCCTTAGTAACTTCTCTAGAGATTATGTATCTGTCTTCTGACACTCTCAATAAAAGTACGTGTGTTTACCTGTATAATCAAATGTTCAGCGTAAACTGTATCTTCTTGCCATAGAATCATCAGATCTTTCAAATAGAAGTGTTATATAATGTATGAGAAAGAACAATCAAAACATAGGTCTCTTCCACTCATAAAACAGGAAACATAACAAACAAACAAAAAAATGAAAACCCGGTATGATGATGTTACAAAGCCGGTCGTTATTCAACACACACAAAGCTTCAGAAACACGCAGAAATAAAGAACGTAAATCATTATAGAGGAAACGATCCAGATGATTTAGTGGTGTAAGTAGATCTTGCTCTAGCTACGTCTGTGATCCTCTCAGTCTTGTGGTGATGCGTCACTGTGATCTACCATAATCCAGTCCTGCAAATACACAGCAGTGTAAAATGCTAAGATGAGACTGAAAAGAGACGAGATTTGATGCAAGACGACTCAAACACTTACGACCTGCAAAAGAGAAAAAAAAATTAATAATGATACTAATGATTTTTGACAATTTGGACTCGTTAATGTTCCTGTCCTGATGAGTAGTTCTGAAGAAGAGATAAAATTCAAGAGAGGCATTGATGGTTCTTGGTCCTAAATGTTCACTCGAGAGGTGATAGAGTTTAATATGATTGCAACTTACCTTGAACTTTGGGCAAGTTTTCTCATCCACTCTCTCTTGCAGATTAGTGAGAGCTGACGAATCGACTCCTCCAATAACATTCTCCAGCTTCTCACAATACTTGGCATGCAGATCTTTTAAGCTGCTAGGCAGCTGAGTTGCATCCGGGAAAAGCGTTATGATATTCGGACAGCATTCTATGCTTAGCTCCTTCAGACTCTTCAAGCTACCTCCACAACTTATAGTCTCCAACAATGGAAGATTTGTAATCGACAAAGTCTCCAGCGATCCCAAGCGTTCCTCATCCACACCAGAGAAAAGCATTTTTGTATCCATGCACATCCTTACCCAGCAACTCTTCACCGAGTTGATCTTGTTCAAGATAGATGTGATTCTTGAGGAGCTACAGTCCACAAAAGACACAAACTCAGCATTAGCCAGGGCTTCCTCACCTGGCTCATTGGTTTCATTGATCTTCATGACTTCCTGCTGACTTGCAGAATCAAAGATTGACAATGTCGTCTTAAATAGAGGCCTGTTTATGAGGACCTGGAGAAGAGGTTCCTTGATTACGTCTCCATTACTGGAACTATCACTGGCGCGAGGCTCATTCGGCTCAATCTCTTTTATTTCTCGGGATTCAAAATTTGCATTCGAAGAGCTGGCCTTCTCAGATTTCTCACTTTCAGTGTTTTTCTTTATTTGGCTCCATTCCTCACCTTTAAAAGACGTTCCATCTGCCAGAGTAATAAGCTTTGGACAACGGAATTTGGTCTCCTTGGGCAGCTCTGGTGTCTTCACTTTGGTGCCAGAGAGATTTACTTCACGTAGGTAAGACATGTCCTCAAAAGATCCCACGATTGTATGCAACTTGGTACAGCCGGAAACATCAATGACCTCGAGATTCATGAGTTTTGAGATATTTGGCAGAACTTCTAGGTTGGTGCAATTCCTTAGTAGGAGTTCGTTGAGACTGGACAGCTCCTCGATGGTGGTAGCCAACTCGCTGAGATTCGTGCCCGAGAGATTAAGAGTTTTGAGTTCCTTCTTATCCTCAAAGCACACTTCAAGCATTTCCACTAAGCTAGTAGTGCCAGAGAGATCAAGAATTTGCAGACCTGACAAGGGCTTCAGGCTAGGCAATCTTCTTAATTTGCTACAATCGCGTAACAAGAGCCGAGTCACGGAGTGAAGCTCGTCGGCCACCGCAGAGTCCTGGAATATAGGTAGTCGCTCTATTTGGCTCTCCGAGAAGTCAAGGAGCTGAAGTCTTTTAAGATGATAAAAGTTTTTGTTTTTGCTTTTGTTTTTCTTTACGCCTTTTGTGTTGTCGAAACAAGTTTGGAGCCCACGAGCACCAGAAATATCAACAACCTCAAGCAGCTTTAATTCCTGTATGTCTGGCAAATCTTCCAATAAAGGGCAGTCCCTGATGATGAGACAGTGAAGATCCTCCAGTTGAGAAATGCTGGAAGGGGAAGATGTGATCTGAAGCCCAGAGAGGTGAAGACTCTGAAGTTTAGACAATGTCTTAAAGAAATCGTCAGAGATTTTCTTCAGGGAGCTAGCGCCAGAAACTTCAAGAGCATGTAGCCCATGAAGATGCTTAAGCTGCTCAATATCTTTGAGTAGATCACAATCCCTGATTATAAGAACCCGGAGGAGTTTGCAACAACGCTCTGAAAATCCCTCGAAAAAAGGGTCCAATGTGGGTACGAACAGGCCAAGTACTTCAAGATCTACCATTTCCTTGAAAAACTTTGTAAGAGTTACACGACGCAGACGATCACCACTAACAAGAAGTGTGAAAATCTTGTCTGCTTTCTTCGCTTGCACTGTTTTAATCATATCATCTATCTGTGTGATTTTCCCTATGCCTTTTTTCTTGTTACCACCATAGACTCTAGAGAATCCAAGTCGAGATGTCCCTAAATGCCCGCGACGTCGAGGATCAATCACATTTCTCATCGCCATCTCTGGTACCACTACATTGTTTTCTTGTATCTTCAGCAACCCACGGTCTACAAGCTCCATCAAGATAACATGACCGTCTTGGTACGCCTTTTCGACAGACCTAACAGGATCAAAGTAGCCTTCAAGTATCCATTGTGTGATCAGGTCACGGTAGTAAACACTGCCACAGTGCTCAAAGAAGTCCAAGCTATGCCAAAAACAATCCACGATTGGAAGATTCAATTCACTGATTGTCAACAACTCGTACGCAAGAAGCAATACTGGATTCTCCTTGTGTGGTTTGATATCGTTCTCCTCCCGCTCCGCTGTGAGAACCCTTTCTATCATTTCTTTTACTAACGTCTCCTTTTCTTTCCGAGAAGACTGATCGGAAGTGTTCTGAAATGTGTACTCTAGTGACTTGACTAGCACCACGATTCCAGCTGGCAAATTCTTGCTCTTTTCCGCCAAGTGAGATATCAATGTCACATCACGCACATGAGACTTCTCAAGCAAAAAATCGGGGAAATCGTTGAAAAAGGAGTGAAATAAATCCTCTGGGTCCTTGTCACTGAAGGGTTCAAGTAACTCCTCCGAAAAAGTCGTGGGATGGATCTCAAGTTTCCCATGACAAAACGTATCCCCCCATAACTCACCCGTGGTAGTGGTTACAGTGTTCACATCAAGATTTGTATCCTTTCCCTTGACTTCCTCACCGGTGGCCTCAGTTATCTCCTCATTGTTAGTGGCCGCATCACCCGGCTCACTTCTTCCTCCACTATCTACGTCCTCACCCTCAACATTGGAATCCGACTCATTTCTCTCCTCAGCCTCCCCACCAGCTTGTGCAGGCTTCTTATTTGCTTCTCTTCTTGTAATAAGGATTTTCCGAGGTGTGTGATTTTGAAGAAAATACTCAAGGCCCAAATGCACCATCACCTCTTCCTCACTGGTCATCCCTTCATCGTCAAGAATCAACAGAAGATATGGTTTTCTTGCAGATGGTGTATTTTTCTTCTCTTCTTCAGCTGGCTTCTCCTCTGGTTTAGCCAGTTTCTCCTTTTCTCCAGCTGGTTGATTCGTATTTCCAAGAGGATTCTTCGGTTTTTTAACAGCCTCTGATTTTTCCCCAGCCAACTTCTTGGCTTTTTTCTCATCCTCCTCAGCCAACTTCTCTAGTTTTGCCTTCAACTTTTTCCGGAGCTCTTCCTTTATATTTTTCTTCATGTCCTCTAGCAAGACCTCCACTTTCTTCTGCTCCTCCTCCTCTTCATCTCTATCACCAACTTCAGTCTCTTCAAAATCAGAATGCACACATAACTGAGAAGCTATGTTCTCGTAAAGCGTCCACTCGTCTTCATAAAGCTTGTTCGCTACATAGCTGTCGTTGACTTTAAACTTCTTGTTGAGATGCAGCCAAATAGTCTGGTAGCACAAGCCATCCTTCTTAGAGACATGTTCGTCTACCTTCTTAGCCATCCATGTCTTCCCGATTCCAGCTTCACCAACCAGAATAACTTTTTGATTACCATCACTTTCCAGAGTTTTCACTATACTTTCACACAACTCCTCAACCTTCTTCTTAGGACCCGTTGGTTCAAAAGAAACTGCCACAGAAAACAAAACAAAACAAAAATTAAAAATTTGGTTCCCTTTTTTCGTTCAAACTCAAAATCAAAGATAAATCCAGCTCTCTCTCTCTCTCTCTATATATATATATATATATATCATTTTCATCATCTCTCTAGAAGAATCGATTAACAAACGCTACAGGATCATCAGAAAGTTCTTACATTTACACATCTAAAGGGCGTAAGAATTACACTATTCCGGAGGACGAGATCGAAAAGCGAAGAAGAGAAGAAGAGAAGAAGAAAAAGTAGTGACCTTTTTTGATCTCCGGCTCCGCCATGACCGGATTCCTTCGCCGATAAGTTTTTTCTGTTCGTTCTCGGGACCTTTGCTTCGCAACAAAGCGAAGTCAACCTCTGCTCTGTGTCTCACTCTCTCTCCCTTTTCTTTCTCCCATCATCTCTCTCCTTGTCTCTTTCTCTGTTATTTCCCCTTAAAACATCATTTTCCCATAATCTCCAACTTATTTATACTTCTTTTCTTAATTACCGACAATTCTATATTTGCTTTTTTTTTTTCTTACTAACCCTGGAAGGAAATAGCGGAAGTTCGTGGTACTAAAGGTTAATTAATACGTTTACACCAAGAATTTTGGATTTCAAAAAAAATTTCAGCATGGTATAAAAAAAGTCGTTTGTGGTCCCAGGCTAAATAAATTTTTTAGAATGATAGATTATTAATGGTAAAATTGTCCTTATAATAGTTCTCCTAATCTATAATAGACGATTAAAAAAAATATCAGGAAGAAAATTATTTTTAAAAATATTATAAAGTTCAAAATATTCAGACTGAGGGTCTCTAGTTATTTTGTATGTTTCATATTAAAAAAAATAAAAGGAGATTTGATTTCATATTCTAAAACATTTATACATTTTGATAACTAATCTATTTTAAAAAAAATTTGAAAACTAACTTTTTACTATTTAAAATTATCAAAATTCCTTAGTAAAATAAAAAATAGGAATTATCATAAAATCTAGTTATATTATTTACATTTCATAAAAATTAAAAAATTGATAATTTAAAAATTTGTGCATTGGTTTTTATATAAAAAATAATATTCTTAAGTTTTAAAAATAGATTTTTTACTATCAAATTCAACATAATTCTATCAGAGATATGATCGCGTAATTCAACAGATAATAAGATATTACAAAAAATAGATATATAAGAGATTTAATTTGAGAAATTTTAATTTATAAATAGACTTGAGTCGAGTGAAAACTGAGTTTTCAAAAAAAAATTGTTTTTCTTAAAAATGGTGCAGATTTTTGGAGTTTATGGAGGTTAGATGATGAGCAAAGAATCATAGAATAATTTATATATATATTTAGAAAATAAAAAAATTAATTATTATATTTGTTATAATTTATTTTATAATATATTTTATTCCGAAAATAAATAAGAAATAAATTATTGTATTTTTTATAATTTATTCTCAAAATTCATGATGAGTATAATTGGTTTTTTATCGAATAAAAAATTTAATTTTAAAAAAAAAATTAAAAACGGGTTAGTTTTTAAAATATACAAAATTTTTAGAATACTAAATCAAAATTTTGTTTAAGAGTATCTTTGTATTTTTGTGAACAAATTCTGCTTTTTATTAGTGTGTTGTTTGGTTTTTATGTTACAAGTATTTGACAACAATCACAGGAATCATTTTATACCGCTTTGTACCGTTTGTGCTATTTAGAATCTTTGTAAATCTAAATGTTGTTCCCGTAAATATTTGTCGTAGTTATGAATGCTAAAAAAATAAACAAATATTATCTTAAATATCATTGATAAAAATTAGAATATCATATCAACTATATCAAATCGAAATTTATATATACTTAATAGGTTAAAATATATTATACAAATTAATATTCTAAAACTGTTAAAATATTGTAGTTTTTTATTCTATAATTTATATATAATTACAATTTAAAATTTGATCATAATAATATATTTTTTCTTATAAAAATGTTATATTATAGATATTTTAATTAATTTTAAGTAAAACAGCTATTACAACCATTGTCAACCAGTTTGAAAATAAGCCACAAACGCATAAATTCAAACAGCTATGCCACTTATATAAAGGGAATCAGACAATAATGCTAAAAACTGTTATATGCTTTAAATTTATTGTATTTAGTGAAGAGTTATGGCATGATGAAAAAAAGCTTAAAATACATTACATTTCTAATCCAAAACCAGTTCATCAAAATAATGTTAACTAACGTGGCTGTCAATTTATTTATTTATTTTTTTATTATTGGATGTCCCCCAAGGTACAAATGTAACGTGGCTGTCATAAATGGATAATGGTGGTAAAAATAGTTTGTCAAAATAACGTGCCCGTTCATGTGTGTCTTTTATTACTCCTTTAGAATGAGTATACCGATCATTTTCCCTTGCACTCAAAAGTCTTCCCTATGAAACGATTTAAATATAACAGTCATGTTGCATTTTATGTTATTTTTTTAAATCATTTCATTTTATGTTATTAATATTGACCTAAATTATTAAAAGACTTACAGCATAGCGGCGTTACAATAGCCAACTCTCTTACACGGTGTCGTTAAAGGTAATTGGTAAGACACACATGACTCTTTTTTTTATACGTTTATGACTGTCTTTTTTTCTGCGGTCTTTATTTATTGAGATCAAAAGTCGTGCAAATCAAACAGCTAATAAAAATTATGTTATTTAATTTTGAGTTATGTGACATATATCAAAAGATCTATACTCCAAAAAATTCAAAGTTTGTTAAAAAACCAAGATTTTCTTGTGAGGAAAGCTTCATCAAACATACATATACGAGATCTTCTCTAGATCATAGTTAACAACATATGTGTTTTTTCAGATAAGTTATGAAAGCTCCGAACCTATTGGTTTATATTTTGATCTGATGTATGTGCCACATCTAAATGGTAAATGAACCCCTTAAATAGATTCAAACTAATGACCATACTAATTCCTCAAAACCACCATCATTTCATTTATGTTGTTCATTATTCAAAACATGATTAGCTGGTAACCTGTACGCATGTACTCCATCTAAGAGTGTATTACCACTATGTGTACTTTTGAGTTATCTAATGTTCAAAAAAATGATTTTTCTGTTTTAATTACCAGAAGACATATTTTTCTACTATTTAGAGGAGACAAATGACTGTTTTAACTCTTTTGTTTAGTTATCTATAGTATTTCTTTATTTAATATTATATTAATATCACACATTCTTCATAATTGTTTGTTGTTATTTATCTATTATTTAAAAAAGAATCGAATAATTATTTTGACACTATAAATTATATAATTTTTTTTCTTAATACTTTGATACCCATTTTCTATTTTTTAACTTAAATTTTTTCGTCGTTTAGTGATAAACACATAGGTATTCATATAGTAGCGTCTACATGGACACAAATATATGGATACATATGCAATTATATAAATAATATATGTATACACATACATATCTATATAGTAGCGTATACGTGAACACATAATATATGGATATATATATATATCCACGTACATAGAGTATAAATGGATATAACTATATAGATATACATATATATATACATGCATATCCATATGCATATATTATAGATGAATGTAACTATATAAATATATGTGCATATTTACATGTGTATCTATATAGTTGTATATATAGGTGGGTTCTGTGTGATTTAATGTGTGAAAACTAATAAATTAAGATGGATTCTATGTGATTTAGTGTGTATAAGCTGATGAATGAATTTAAGTGGGTCCCGTTCGTTTTGGTAAGACAAAAGAAAAAGAAGAGTAAAAAAGTCCAAAAATATGAGCAAAGTAAGATAAGTCACCTGATTCAGAAAATAACTTTTTTGGCAATTACACTTTCAAAAAATGCATTTGGTGGTAATATTTTCCATATAAAACCAAAAAAGCTTGTATTCTGAAGAGAATAATGAATAATGAACCTCATAAATCCTAGTGCCCTATTTCTGTATAGTCAATGCTAATTACAAATTAAAGACTTCGTCCTACCGTTTTACATATATATATATATATATATATATATAATTCTATGTAAGAACTCCTCTCCTCTTAACTATGGTTAAAACTGGAACTTATAGAGGTGAAGAAAAAGTAATTAATTATTGATGACTTATTAATATATATATATATATATATATTCGAGATGGAGACGTGATTATTGTAATCGCTACATAAAGACAATCAAGATCGAGTATCATTTAAGGAAAAACAATATACAAAAACAATGCTGGCATTTAAAATGTCTCCAGTATTGATGTAATATGCCATCATTTAAATAAGAAATATACAGTAGGCACCAATTTTTTTTATTAAATGTCTCACCATTAACGGATACAATATCTGTTAGAAACTGAAAGGGATATGGATATATACCAATACCACTAATTTGTACAAGTTTTTTTGTTTTTTTTTTTTTGCTTTAAAACAAGTTAACAACTTACAAATTTTATGTGAAAATTTTAAAAATTTTACTTATAAGCTCTTAACTTACAAGTTATATGTGAAACTAATATGCCACTAACACTAAGTTACAACTTATAAGTTAGTTATAACAGATGTTAAAAGAAAAAGTTAGTTATATCTAATTGAGGAGGACACTACGTACAGATATACAATTATAACATGGTTTCACAGAATGAGAAACAAGTGTAGTAGAAAATTAAAAATTTTAGGAAGAGAAAATATGTCGGAATCCTAGAACTATGAAGAAGAATTTCGAGTAGAAAAACAAAATACACTGTAGACTCATGTTAGGTTTGGGCCGGACATTTTGGACTATTAAAGATGAGGCCCGAGTTCGAAAATAAAAGTTGCACATAATAATCAGATATATTCTGGTAATAGCAATGAAGACACATATATATTTATAAGACGTATAAATATTGGTAAGAATCAATATTATATATTCCTCTAATACGCAATATATTTTTTATTTGAAAAAATTATAGGCTGACATAAAATAGATTTTGTTATTGTAATTTCAGTGATTAATATATCATAGAATAAATTATTTAGTAAAACATACTGTAACTTTTACTTTATTAGTATGTCTAAGAAATTATAAAATTATATTTTTTGTGAGGCGTACAGAATAGAAATTTATATTTTTTTCTTAGATTTTTTAAAATTCTTTTCCTGATTTTTTCAAGTTTGTATGCAAATTTATCACATATTTTACTTATTTAAGATTTAAGATTTTTGTCAAAATCTCTGCTTTTAAGTTTTAACCAAATTTTTTTTTTTTTGTTGAACAAACCCAAATTTTAAAATTTTCGAAAATGAACATGAGGCTTATCCCAAAAATCTTCGAAAATTAAGTAGAAAAACAAATAAGATTCTGATCAAGGACAACAAGTTTGATAATTAGATGCAGTGGCGGATCTAGAA